TTCTCCTCCTCCTCCTCTTTCTTTCTCTTTCTCCTCCTCCTCCTTCTCCTTCACCACCTCCTCTTCCTTCTTCTTCTTCTTCTTCTTCTTCTTCTTCTTCTTCTTCTTCTTCTTCTTCTTCTTCTTCTTCTTCTTCTTCTCCTCCTCCTCCTCCTCTTCCTCCTCCTTCTTCTCCTTCTCCTTTTTCTGCTTCGCTGCTCTCAGCCCTGCTCCACCAGAGGAGACGCTTCCAACACAGCTGTTAGCAATGCAGGAGATCCCTGGAGATCCATCTTCTCGGGTGTCTGATTTATGGACGGACCTTCTGTTGGGCAGGGCGCCAAGTTGGCCCTGGGTGAGATGGAGAAGCTGGGTTGTTGATGGCTGGTTTGGTCCTCCAGCTATCAATCTCCCGGATTAATTGTCCCCTCCGTTCCGCCCAGGAGTTGGAACGTGCGTTCCTCTCCGAGAAGCAGAACCTTACAACCAACTTGCCAAGAGAAAAGAAATGAGGAAGGCCAACGATGACGTTGGGTCCGGTTGACCAACGTGGGGATGGACCATCCGCCACATTGGGGAGGGCGCCTGGGTCCGATCTAGGTGCGCCAGAACGTTGGAGATGCAGCGTTCGACGACTGAAAACAGCCGTCAAGGAAGGCTCACGCCGAAAGCTGGATTGGGTCAGGAGTTAAAGTAGAAAGATAGAAACCAGAAGACTGGGAATTCTAGTCCCCAATTAGACAGCAAAGCCGGCTGGGCGACGTTCGGCCAATCACCAGGAGAGAATGAATCCTAGTCCCTCTTTGGCATAAAATTGGGCTCGCCGGGAGACTGGAAGGTCTAGTCCCGCCTTAGACGTGAAAGCTGGCTGAGTGACTTTGGGCCAGTCACTGGGAGACTGGGAATTCTAGTCCTGCCTTAAGCATGAAAGCAATTGGATGACTTTAGGTCAATCACCGGGAGTTGGTGAGTTCTAATCCTGCCTTAGAGGTAAAAGTTGACGGGGTGACTTTGGGCGGATCACCGGGAGACTGGGAGTTCTAGTCCTGCCTTAGACAGTCGTTAAGTGAGGGCTGCGTGGATAGGGAGCTAGACAGAGTTGCACGGAAGGTCTTACAGGGGGGAGGCAGCGTTCTGTTCCCCAGCATTTGGGGTGCTCACTTGCTCCCCCCCCCAGCCCGTTGCACATCTGAGCCACCCCTCTTGGCAGATCAGAATCAGAAGAGAGTTGGAAGGGACCCTGGAGGTCATCTAGTCCAGCCCCCTGCTCAAGCAGGAGCCCCTGACAGAATCATAGAATGGCAGGGCTGGAAGGGACCCTGGAGGTCATCTAGTCCAGCCCCCTTCTCAAGCAGGAGACCCTGACAGAATCATAGAATGGCAGGGTTGGAAGGGACCCTGGAGGTCATCTAGTCCAACCCCCCCACTCAAGCAGAATTTCCTTACAGAATCATAGGATAGAGCTGGAAGGGTCCTCGGAGGTCATCTAGTCCAGCCCCCTGCTCAAGCAGGAGCCCCTGACAGAATCATAGAATGGCAGGGTTGGAAGGGACCTTGGAGGTCATCTAGTCCAACCCCCTGCTCAAGCAGGAGACCCTGACAGAATCCTAGAATAACAGAACTGGAAGGGACCCTGGAGGTCATGTAGTCCAGCCCACCCCCCCGCCCCCGCTCAAGCAGAATTTCCTTACAGAATCATAGAATGGCAGGGCTGGAAGGGACCCTGGAGGTCATCTAGTCCAGCCCCCCCCCGTTCAAGCAGAATTTCCTTACAGAATCATAGAAGGATAGAGCTGGAAGGGTCCTTGGAGGTCACCTAGTCCAGCCCCCTGCTCAAGCAGGAGCCCCTGACGGAATCATAGAATGGCAGGGTTGGAAGGGACCTTGGAGACCATCTAGTCCAACCCCCTGCTCGAGCAGGAGCCCCTGATGGAATCATAGAATGGCAGGGTTGGAAGGGACCTCGGAGGTCATCTAGTCCAGCCCCCCGCTCAAGCAGGAGCCCCTGACGGAATCGTAGAATGGCAGGGTTGGAAGGGACCTGGGAGGTCATCTAGTCCAACCCCCTAGTGGCCGTCCGGTCCCTTCTTAACAACGTCTAGGGAGGAAGCCCCTCAAGAGGTGGGGAGTGTCTCCCCCCCCCGCCTCCGGCTTCCCAGACTCCTGAGGTCCAGATTTGGGGTGCCAGACAGCAGCCCCCAAATCCTGTGTGTGTGTGTGTGTGTGTGGGTGTGTGTGTGTGTGTGTGTGTAAAATCCTTCTGCTCTGACAGCCTCCCCCTCCCTCCTATCGCCTGGCGAAGGGGTGAGGACTTGAGATGGCCCCACAGGCGCTCCGGGCATAGCAAGGGACGAATCCCCATTCTTGTAAAGATCGTGGGAGCAACCTGCCCCCGGTTCCCCACCCCCGCCCCCCCTTTCCTCCTTTTCTTTCCGAACTGGCTAACAGATGCAAATGAGCTGTTGCACCCCCCCCTTGAGCCCCCCCCCAATGCACCCCCTCCCCGACCCCCAGTCCTCCTTTTGCAGAGCCTGGGAGAGTTTTCACAAAAGAGAGGTTTTTTTTTTTTTTTTTGCAAAGGGACTGGAGCAGATGGTGCATTGTCTTTACAGATGGGAGCAGGGGGGGGACGATGGGAGGGGGTGTCCCTGGGAAGATTCCAGCACTGGGGGGGGGAGTGAGTTGGGGTCAGAGGTCAGGGGGAGACAAAGCCGGCTGCGTGAATGGTGAAAGCTCTCGTTCCCACGGTGGGAGCCGTTCCCCCCCTTTCTCTTTTGGGGGTGAGGGGGGGGCTGCTTGGCCAGCAGGGTCTATTGGAGGCACCCCCCCTCCCCCCCATAGCTTGAATGCAAAGCTAGAAGGGTGGGCTGGGGTCTCCTTCCCCTCCGAAGGGATGTTTTCCAAACTTCCCCTTGTTTTTTTTTTTTTTTGCCAAGAGAAAAACGTGGGAGGTTTTCCTAAAAAAGGGGGGGGTGTTGGGGGGAATCAGGAAAGGGGGGAAAAAAACTCCCCCCCCCCAGGAAAGGGGGGCATTTGAGAAAGACCCAGCCCCTCCCAAAGACATTTGGGCAATGGAGACGATGTTTCAACACCTCGACGTACGGCCCGGATGGAGCCCCAAATTTCAGCCACTAGGCGAGACGGTCACGAAAAAGAATGCCCGGCCCTGTTTTACGACCCTTCTCGCCCCCGTTGTTCCCCGCGCCGGTTCTTAAGTGAGTCCCATGGTCGTGAGGTGAACCTGGCTGATCCGATTGGCTTTTGGCGTCTCAGAACGGTCGCCGAAAGGGATCCGCGTGATTCCCCCGGGACACTGCGGCCGTCATAAGTAGGAAGCGATTGCCGAGCGTCTGCATTTTGATCATTTCATAAGCGGAAAAAGAAAGGAAGGAAGGAAAGAAGGGAAGAAAGAAATCAGGCAGGAAGGAAAGAAAGAAGGAAGGAGAGAGAGAACGAAAAAGAGAGAAGGAAAACAAGAGAAACACAGAAAGAAAAAAGAAGAGAAAGTTAGAAAGAAGAGAGAGAAAAAGAACCAGAGAAAGAAAGAAAAACAGAAAAATAGAGTGAGAAAGAAAGAGAAAGAAAGAAAGGAAGGAAGGAAGGAAGGAAGGAAGGAAGGAAGGAAGGAAGGAAGGAAGGAAGGAAGATAGAAAAAAGCCGGAAAGAAAAGGAAAGAAAAAAAAGAAGGGAGGAAGAAAAGAAAAGAAAAAAGGAAGGAAAGAAAAAGAAAAATCAGGCAGGAAGGAAAGATAAAGAAAAGAAGGAAAGAAGGAAGGAGAAAGAAAAAGAGAAAGGAAAAGAGAGAAGGAAAACGAGAGAAACACAGAAAGAAAGAAAAAGAAGAGAAAGAAAGAAGAGAAAGGGAGAAAAAGAAAAAGAAAGAAAACCTGAGAAAGGGAAAAAAACAGAAAAATAGTGAAAGAAAGAGAGAGAAAGACAGGAAGGAAAGAGCGAGAGCAAGGAAGGAAGGAAAGAAAGATAGAAAGAAAGCAGGAAAGAGAAAGAAAGAAAGAAAGAAAGAAAGAAAGGAAAGAAGGAAGGAGAAATAAATAAATAGAGAAATAGAAAGAAAAGGAAAAGAATGAGAAAGGGAGAGACAGACAAAGATAAGAAAGAATGAAAGAAAGAAAGCAAGAGGAAGAAAAAAAGGAAAAAGTAAAACACAGAAAGAGAGAGAGAAGGAAGGAAGGAAAGGAAGGAAGGAAGGGCGAGAGCAAGGAAAGAAGGAAAGAAAGATAGAAAGAAAGCAGGAAAGAGAAAGAAAGAAAGAAAAGAAAGAAAGAAAGAAAGGAAAGAAGGAGAAATAAATAAATAGAAAAATAGAAAGAAAAGGAAAAGAATGAGAAAGGGAGAGACAAAGATAAGAAAGAATGAAAGAAAGAAAGCAAGAGGAAGAAAAAAAGGAAAAAGTAAAACACAGAAAGAGAGAGAGAAGGAAGGAAGGAAAGGAAGGAAGGAAGGGCGAGAGCAAGGAAAGAAGGAAAGAAAGATAGAAAGAAAGCAGGAAAGAGAAAGAAAAGGAAAGAAAAAGAAAGAGAAAGGGAGAAAGAAAGGAAAGAAGGAAGGAGAAATAAATAAATAGAGAAATAGAAAGAAAAAATGAGAAAGGGAGAGACAGAGACAAAGATAAGAAAGAAAGAAAGAAAGAAAAAAGAACGAAAGAAAGAAAAAAGAAAGGAAGAAAAAAAAGGAAAAAATAAAACACAGAAAGAGGGAGAAGGAAGGAAGGAAAGAAAGAAGGAAGGAAGGAAGGACGGTCCTAGACCTTGGAAAAAAACTTTCTGTTTGTTTTCCCCCATCCTTTCCTTTACACAAACACACCCGCAAGCACACACACACAAGCACAAGCACACAGCTCCAGCCCTGGGATCTATGGGTGGTCTCCCATCCAATCCATACTAAGCCTTGAACCTTCTCAGCCCTCTAGAGACCAGCCGAGAAATGCCTTCCACCTCCTGGCATTTACCCTCCTTCGTCTCTCTCGTTCTCTCGCTCACCCTTCGCTCTTTTTCCCCGTGCAGATACCGAACCCCTTCGGAGCTACACAACGACAACTTCTCCCTCTCCACCATTGCCGAGGGATCGCACCCAAATGTAAGGAAATTTTGCGACACCCCGTGTAAGCACTCCCCCCACGCCCGTGCATTGGCTTACTATGATAACATTATATGTCAGGTAACGTGTCTTCTTGTCCTCTCCCGTCCTTCGGCATGCCTCCCGCCGTCTCCCCCCACCCCCTCCGCCTCCCCCCATCCCGTCTCCGCTGTCCCAAGCATGCTCGGCTTGGTTGCTGCTGCTCCCGGACCACCCCTGGGAGGCTGCACCCCCGGGCGGTCCCATCCGGGTTGCCAATGTCCGAACCTGGTCCAAAAAAAGTCGAGAAGGCTGCGGTACGATGAGAAGGCCGGCTGGAGCCTTTGTTGGTCGTCGGATTGATTTGATTCGGAGGCCACTGGAATCTTAGCGGTCCGGGAGGGCTCGCAAAGTGCAAACGAACAACTCGACAGGCCGACAGTGAGACAGGGACGAGAAACGGCAAAAACGGGGCGAGGACGACTGGCGGGAGGGGTGGGTGGGTCCCCCAGCCGGGCCCGTTTGCCTGCAGACGTTTCTTGACCCAACTAGATAACAGTGTCAGGATTAGAAGGGAGAGGGGTTCGTGGGGAGGAGGGGGAGGGGGAGGAAGAAGAAGAAGAAGAAGAAGAAGAAGAAGAAGAAGAAGAAGAAGAAGAAGAAGAAGAAGAAGAAGAAGAAGAAGAAGAAGAAGAAGACGAAGAAGAAGAAGAAGAAGAAGAAGAAGAAGAAGAAGAAGAAGAAGAAGAAGAAGAAGAAGAAGAAGGAAGAAGAAGAAGAAGAAGAAGAAGGAAGAAGAAGAAGAAGAAGAAGAAGAAGAAGAAGAAGAAGAAGAAGAAGAAGAAGAAGAAGAAGAAGAAGAAGAAGAAGAAGAAGAAGAAGAAGAAGAAGAAGAAGAAGAAGAAGAAGAAGAAGAAGAAGAAGAAGAAAAGAAGAAGAAGAAGAAGAAGAAGAAGAAGAAGAAGAAGAAGAAGAAGAAGAAGAAGAAAAGAAGAAGAAGAAGAAGAAGAAGAAGAAGAAGAAGAAGAAGAAGAAGAAGAAGAAGAAGAAGAAGAAGAAGAAGAAGAAGAAGAAGAAGAAGAAGAAGACAACACCTGGGAAGATGGATGGAGGTTTAGCTCCAGAGTTATCAAGGCGGAGAAGATGGAAGGAAGGAAGGAAGGAAGGAAGGAAGGAAGGAAGGAAGGAAGGAAGGAAGGAGGAGGAGGAGGTGGAGGAGGAGGAAGAAGAAGAAAAAGACTATGGGGTCCTTGGTGCTCTCTGAGTTTGGTGGTTTTCTTGCAGATGTTTCAAGACCTATCCAGGGAACATCATCAGTGCTAGAAGTGAGGGGGGGGTTGTGGAGGAGGAGGAAGAGGAGGATAACGACGACAACGACAACTGTGGGGTCTTTGGTGCTCTCTGAGCTGGGTTGTTTACCTGCAGACATTTCATGACCCAACTAGATAACAGCATCCGTTTTAGAAGGGCTCGTGGAGGAGGAGGAGGAGGGGACAAGGGAGGAGGAGGACTGTAGGGTCCTTGGTGCTCTCTGAACTGGGTGGTTTTCTTGCAGACATTTCATGACCCAACTAGGTAACATTATCAGTGCTAGAAGGGATTGCATATAAATAGACAACGAACCCCCATCCCTTCTAGCACTGATGCTGTTCCCTAGTTGGGTCATGAAGCGTCTGCAAGAAAACCACCCAGCTCAGAGAGCACCCAGGTCGTCGTCGTCCTCCTCCTCCTCCTCTCTAGCATTGATGCTGTTACCTAGTTGGGTCACGAGACGTCTGCAAGGAAACCACCCAGCTCAGAGAGCACCAAGGACCTCACAGTCCTTCCTTCCTTCCTTCCTTCCTTCCTTCCTTCCTTCCTTCCTTCCTTCCTTCCTTCCTTCCTTCCTTCCTTCCTTCCTTCTCTTCCCCCTCCTCCTCCCTTCTGCCACTGATGCTGTTACCTAATTGGGTCAAGAAACGTCTGCAAGGAACCCATCAAGCTCAGAGATCACCGAGGACCCCACAGTCCTTTTCCTCCTCCTCCTCCTCCTCCTCCTCCTCCTCCCCCCCCCCTACCACCGATTAGGTTCTCATGAAACGCCCGCAAGAAAACCAACAACTCAAGACCCCTCCGTTCCACCCGGAGCTACCAATATTCCCTTCTATCAATAAAGACACCCACCCAGGCGTGTTGAAGAACTATCCAACGGCCTGGGGGGCGTCATTTGGATCTTGGGGAGCACCCCATTCCAGAGGGCAATCACCTCAAAAAAAAAATATCCAGAGTACATTCAATGGCGGTATCTCAGCCATCGGGTTTTTTTTTTTTGGACCAAGCTCTACGACAGCCCTGGTAGGTTGGCTGGCTGGGTCGGAGGTCCCATCCCCACCAGCTTATGGGTCCCCGCATGACGTCGGCCCGCGAGCAACGCAGCAACGGTCTCCCACCCTTGTGTGTTTCCCCCGATGCACCCCTGGTCACAAGTGGCCCTTCAGAGCTTGTTGAAGGGGGTTGGCAGCGCAACGCCATCTGCCGGCACGCCCTATCGCTCCCGTCCGCTGGATGTGAAGGTGTCCTTCCTTTGTCCCCCAATTTTCCCACGCTCCTCGTCTGCTCTTAGCGGAACGAGTGAGCCCCCCTCTTTCTCAGCCGTTCTTCGGCTCACCTTGCTCTTCTCCTCGCTCTTCTTCCTGTGCTGGAGATCTTTCCCCCTTCCGTTGGACCTTAATACCAGTTGCACCCTATGTTCAGTTTGTAGCACCCTCTTTCTTTAAGGGTGTTTAGGAGAGGAAGCTGGGCCCGCCCAAAAACAGCATCCCACCAAATTTCGGCCGAGCTCACATGAAGCCTGATTTAGGATTCTCTCTCCGAGGGCAATCCTCGACTGCCTCGGCAATTGTACTGGCTGAATTTCTGCCGAGCTCACAGGAAGCTTACGTAGGATTCTCGCGTCGAGGGCAATCCTCGACTGCCTCGGCAATTGCACCGGCTGAATTTCGGCCGAGCTCACAGGAAGCTTGCTTAGGATTCTCTCTCTGAGGGGAATCCTCGACTGCCTTGGCAATTGCACCGGGTGAATTTTCTGCCGAGCTCACAGGAAGCTTGCGTAGGATTCTCTCTCCGAGGGCAATCCTCAACTGCCTCGGCAATTGCACCGGGTGAATTTTCTGCCGAGCTCACAGGAAGCTTGCATAGGATTCTCTCTCTGAGGGCAATCCTCGACCGCCTCGGTGAATTTTCTGCCGAGCTCACAGGAAGCTTGCGTAGGATTCTCGCGTCGAGGGCAATCCTCGACTGCCTCGGCAATTGCCGCGGTTGAATTCCTCTGGCAGCTGCAGAGCTTCCTGTCTTAGGGATCCCGCCTTAGATTGAGGGATATGATCAATCCTAGGGGCTGTTTGGTGTCGGTCTCCCCCTTCCGGGTAGAATTGTGGTACTGTCCACCTTGAAAGCGAACGCCAAGGGAGGAAAACTGCGGGGTTGACTCTATTTGGGTTCTCCTGCACTTTACCCTAGCTAGGAACTCGCCAAACAGGTGGGACACCCCCTCCTCACCAGTAAGGGTCCCTGATACGAGGGTCTCTCCATAGCCTTCTCTGGGTTTGGCCCCACGTTGCCCATCTCGCCCTCCCCTGCCCCCACTAGCTGTTCAATATACATGTAGACCAAGTAGACGTCTCTCACACCCTCTTTTACTGCCACGACCCCCAACCGGTCGTAAGTCGAGGACTACTCAACCGGTCGTAAGTCGAGGACTACTCAACTGGTGCAGCACCGTTTGCAGAATGGGACTTTTGGCGGGCTCAGCAAGGCAGAGACAGCCTGGACCATTCCTATTGGCTTTGGAAAGCCAATAGAATTAGACTCTATTCAAGAGAGTCTATTTGATTGGCTTTCAAAAGCCAATACAATAAAAGGGAGTAGCACAGCTAAGGAAAAGGGGAAAAAAAATGGCGGACTGCGTTGTTTGGCGACCCCCGTGAAATGATCGTTCGACCCCAAATGGGGTCCCGACCCACAAGTTGAGAACCACTGATGTAGACCTTGGAATAGGAAGTGGGGTTCTCGCTCCCCCCGTCCGAGAGGTGGACTTTGCCCCCCCAGAATGACCAGCAAAGGCCGCACTGGGTGGGGGATTCTGGGAACTGAATTCTCAACATGTGAAGGACACGTGGTTTCGAGAGAACTTCCACCAGGAACATCCCCAGGGCCTCCTGACCAGCGCTGGTGGTGGTCAATGCTTGGATGGAGGCTACTGGTCTCCTACTCTCTACCTCTAAATCAGTGGTTCTCAACCTTTTTAATGCCGCGACCCCCAACCGGTCGTAAGTCGAGGACTACTCAACCAGTCGTATGTCGAGGACTACTCAACTGGTGCAGCACCGTTTGCAGAGTGGGACTTTTGGCGGGCTCAGCAGGGCAGAGACAGCCTGGACAATTTCTATGGGCTTTGGAAAGCCAATAGAATGAGACTCTATTCAAGAGAGTCTCTTCGATTGGCTTTCGAAAGCCAATAGAACAAAAGGGAGGAGCACCGCTAAGGAAAAGGGGGGAAAAAATGGCGGACTGCGTTGTTTGGCGACCCCCGTGAAATGGTCGTTCGACCCCAAATGGGGTCCCGACCCACAGGTTGAGAACCACTGCCCTAAATCGTGGGGGGAGGTAGTTTGGGAGAGCCTGGCCACCCCTCTTCAAGTCTACCCACCCCTCTTTTTCCCTTGGCACTGCCGTTGACGTGAACCCCTTCTCCTGGGCTCCATCTGTCTCCGTCTCCCCCCCCCCGTCTGCTTGTCTTCCGTCCTCCATCCGAGTTTGAGCTTGTCCGTCGTGGTGGGTGGCTGGGTGGTGATGGTGGTCCCCCACTGTGTCCATTGGGAACTTGGGAGTGGGTGCAGGAGGGTGAGGGCGGGTATTGGCTGCAGGAGGAGAGGGAAAGAGGGGAGAAGAGAGGGAAGGGAGGAGGAAAAAAAAGAAGAGGACGGAAGGGGAGAGGAGAGGGAAGAGGAGAAGAACTGAAGAGAGGAGAGGGGAAAGAAATGGAGAAGAGGAAAAAAAAAGAGGATGGAAGGGGAGAGGAGGAGAAAAGAAGAGAGGCGAGGAGAACAGAAGAAAGAGGGGAGGGGAGGAGAGAAAAGGAGAGGAGAGGGAAGTGGAGTGGAAGAGGAGAGAAAAGGGGTAGGAGAAGAGAGGAGAAAAAAGGGAAGAGGATGGAAGGGGAGAGGAGGAGAAGAGAGGGAAGGAAATGGAGAAGAGGGGAGAAAAAAGAGGATGGGAAAGGAGGAGGAGAAAAGAGGAGAGGGAAGAAGAGGGGAGGAGAACAGGTGAGAGAAGGGGGAGGGGAGGAGAGAAAAAGAGGAGAGGGAAGTGGAGTGGGAGGAGAAGAGAGGAGAAAAAAGGGGAGAGGAGGAGAGGAGAGGAGAGGGGAGAGGAGAAGAACCGAAGAGAGGAGAGGGGAAGGAAATGGAGAAGAGGGAAAAAAGAGGATGGAAGTCGAGAGGAGGAGAAGAGAAGAGAGGAGAGGGAAGAGGAGAGGAAGAGAAGAGAGGAGAGGGGAAGGAAACGGAGAAGAGAGGAGAAAAAAGAGGATGGGGAAGGAGGAGGAGAAAAGAGAGGGAAGAAGAGGGGAGGAGAACAGATGAGAGAAGGGGGAGGGGAGGAGAGAAGGAGAGGAGAGGGAAGTGGAGTGGGAGGAGAAGAGAGGAGGAAAAAAGGGAGAGGAAGGAAGGGGAGAGGAGGAGGAGAGGAGAGGGAAGAGGAGAAGAACCAAAGAGAGGAGAGGGGAAGGAAATGGAGAAGAGAAAAAAAAAGAGGATGGAAGGGGAGAGGAGGAGAAAAGAGGAGGAGAGAAGAGAGAGGGAAGGAGAGGAGAGGGAAGTGGAGTGGAAGAGGAGAGAAAAGGGGTAGGAGAAGAGGAGAAAAAAGGGAAGAGGACGGAAGGGGAGAGGAGGAGAAGAGAGGAGAGCGAAGAGGAGAAGAACCGAAGAGAGGAGAGAGGAAGGAAATGGAGAAGAGAGGAGAAAAAAGAGGCTGGGAAAGGAGGAGGAGAAAAGAGGAGAGGGAAGAAGAGGGGAGGAGAACAGATGAGAGAAGGGGGAGGGGAAGAGAGAAGGAGAGGAGAGGGAAGTGGAGTGGGAGGAGAAGAGAGGAGAAAAAAGGGGAGAGGATGGAAGGGGAGAGGAGGAGCAGAGAGGAGAGGAGAGGGAAGAGGAGAAGAACCGAAGAGAGGGGAGGGGGAGGAAATGGAGAAGAGAGGAGAAAAAAAGAGGATGGAAGGGGAGAGGAGGAGAAAAGAGGAGAGGAGAGGGAAGAAGAGGGGAGGAGAACAGATGAGAGAAGAGAGAGCGGAGGGGAGGAGAGAAAAGGAGAGGAGAGGGAAGTGGAGTGGAAGAGGAGAGAAAAGGGGTTGGATAAGAGGAGAAAAAAGGGAAGAGGAAGGAAGGGGAGAGGAGGAGAAGAGAAGAGAGGAGAGGGAAGAGGAGAGGAACCGAAGAGAGAGGATGGGAAAGGAGGAGGAGAAAAGAGGAGAGGGAAGAAGAGGGGAGGAGAACAGGTGAGAGAAGGGGGAGGGGAGGAGAGAAAAAGAGGAGAGGGAAGTGGAGTGGGAGGAGAAGAGAGGAGAAAAAAGGGAAGAGGACGGAAGGGGAGAGGAGGAAAAGAGAGGAGAGGAGAGGGAAGAGGAGAAGAACCGAAGAGAGGAGAGGGGAAGGAAATGGAGGAGAAAAAAGAGGATGGGAAAGGAGGAGGAGAAAAGAGGAGAGGGAAGAAGAGGGGAGGAGAACAGATGAGAGAAGGGAGAGGGGACGGGAGGAGAGAAAAGGAGAGGGGAGTGGAAGAGGAGAGGAGGGAGAGGAGAAGAAAAGGGGAGAGGATGGAAGGGGAGAGGAGGAAAAAAGGAGAGGAGAGAAGGGAGGGGAGGGGAGGAGAGAAAAGGAGAGGAGAGGGAAGTGGAGGGGAAGAGGAGAGGGGAGGAAAGGGCAGGAAGGGAAAACAGGAGGGAAAGGGAGGGAAGGAGAAGAGAGGGAAGGGGAGCGGAAAAATAGGAAAGAAAATAGGACAGGAATGGAGCGAGGGAGGGAAGAAAGAAGGAAGGAAGGAAGGGGAAGAGAACAGAGGGAAGAAGAAAGGAATGGGGAGAGGAGGAAATGGAGGGAGAGAGGAGAGAGGGAAGAAAAAGGGGAGAGGAGGAGAGGAGAGGGAGGAAAGAAAGTAGGAACTGGAGAGGAGAGGAGAAGCAAAGAGAGGAGGGGAGGGGAGAGGAGGGAAAGGAGGAGGAGGAGAGGGAGGAAAGAAAGTAGGAAATGGAGAGGAGAAGAGAGGAAAGGAGAGGAGGGATGGAGGAATGGAGAGGAGGGGAGGGGAGAGGAAAGGAGAGGAGAGAAGGGAAACGAGAAGGAGGAGACGAGGGAGGAAAGAAAGTAGGAACTGGAGAGGAGAGGAGAAGCAAGGAGAGGAGGGATGGAGGAATGGAGAGGAGGGGAGAGGAAAGGAGAGGAGAGAAGGGAAACGAGGAGGAGACAAGAGGGAGGAAAGAAAGTAGGAAATGGGGAGGAGGAGAAGAGCAGAGAGGCAAGGAGAGGAGGGATGGAAAAATGGAAAGGAGGCGGGAGAGAAGGGAAAGGAGGAGGAGGAGGAGAGGGAGGAAAGAAAGTAGGAACTGGAGAGGAGAGGAGAAGAGAAGAGAAGCAATGAGGGATGGAGGAATGGAGAGGAGAGGAAGGAAGAGGAAAGGAGGAGGAGACAAGAGGGAGGAAAGAAAGTAGGAAATGGAGAGGAGAGGAGAGGAGAAGAGAGGCAAGGAGAGAAGGGAAACGAGGAGGAGGAGGAGAGGGAGGAAAGAAAGTAGGAACTGGAGAGGAGAGGAGAAGAGAAGAGAGGCAAGGAGAGGAGGGAAGATTGAATGTGGAGGAGAGGAGAGGAGAGGAGAAGAGAAGGGAAACGAGGAGGAGACAAGAGGGAGGAAAGAAAGTAGTAACTGTAGAGCAGAGGAGAAGAGAAGAGAAGCAAGGAGAGGAGGGCTGGAGGAATGGAGAGAGGAAAGGAGAGGAAAGAAGGGAGAAGAGAGGCGAGGAGAACAGAAGAGAGAGGGGAGAGGAGGGAAGAGGGGAGAGGGAAGTGGAGTGGAAAAGGGGTAGGAGAAGAGGAGAAAAAAGGGAAGAGGACGGAAGGGGAGAGGAGGAGAAGAGAGGAGGAGGCAAGGAGACCAGAGGGAGGAAAGAAAGTAGGAAATGGAGGGGAAGAGAGGCGAGGCAAAGAGAGGAAAGAAGGGCCAAGATGGGTCCAAGGAATAACTCAATGCATGGGCATATTCAGAACCACAATCCTAAGGCTGTGCACGGCTTCAGTTGCAAAAAAATGCACATTGATGGCATCTTTTGAAAGCAGCTCTGTCCTTCCCTGGAAGGAAAAACGGGCGCTACTTTCAGAGGTTGCAATGAATTTGCATGTTTGCCCTCCGAGGCCCCGTTTTCAACACCAAAAAGGAGAGGCCTGCCCGAGCCGCCGTACGATTTTTCCTGTTTTAGCCCTGCAGAGAGGCCTGCTTCGACAGACATTGGTTTAATCGTAGGTAGTTCCTCTCTCCTTCTTTGCTCTCGTTCCAGACCTCCGCCAAAGCGGGTCTCGGGGAAGTAGCTAAGTCACCCACCTGCAACGGATGGAGCGTCTGAGCGCAATTACGCGTCCATCCTGGCGAGAATACAGCAGACAGGCAGTCCTCGACTTACGAACGCAAGGGAGCCCCAAATTCCCATCGCTGGGCGAGACGGCGGTTAAAGGGAGCTTCGCCCCATTTGACGAACCGCTCTGGCCACAGTCGTTAAGCGAATCACGGCAGTTCTATTAGTTACATGAATCGGGCTTGCTCGTCCGAAGGTCGCAAAAGGGGATCACGTGAACTCCCCCCCCCGGGGACACTGCGACCGTCATAAATACGAGTCTGTCGCCAAGTGTCTGAATTTTGACCAGGTGACCACAGGGATGCTGCAACGGTCGTTAAGTGTGAAAAATGGTCCTCGGTCACTTTTTTCACTGCTATTGTAATTTTGAACGGTCACTAATTGTCGCAAGTCGAGGACAAACTGTACTAAAGGCGTTCAACCAATTGAAGCCAGCTTTTTGGAGGAAAACCGCTAGGGCAGTGCTTCTCCATCTTGGCAATGTGAAAACGGGCGGATGTCGACTCCCAGAATTCCTCCGTCGGCCTGGAGAATGCTGGGAGTCGAAGTCGAGGCGTGTGGCTATGGCAGGATGGGCGTTCTCTTCTAAGCTGAGTTTCTCAACCTTCCCGACTTGAAAACGGACAGGCTTCAACTCCCAGAATTCCACCGTGGTTATGAGGAATTCTGGGAGTTGAAGTCCAGATGTCCTTTTAAGTTGCTGAGGTAGAGGTCCCGGTTGAAGGGACCGGGCGAATCCCGTACGGCAGCGTTTCTCAACGTTTGTGTGACGGCGACCCCCGTCACACGGACGCGGCGCGCATGCGCGGTGGCGCCCCCATGCGCAGCGCGCATGCGCACTGGCGCCCCCTGAGGGGGAAAAATGGCAGATCGCGTTGTTTGGCGATCCCCGTAAAATGGTTGTTCGACCCCAAATGGGGTCGCGACCCATAGGTTGAGAACCGCTGCTGTACGGACAAGGACACCCGTATCTCCCCGATTCTATTCCGACGACACCCGGAACGAACTTCTCTTTTTTCTCTCCTACTTCCCGCCACCCCCACCCCACCCCTCCTTCCATCCATTTAGGATGACCCCGGTGCCCCCCACAAGCTGCCGGACCCCTTGAAATCCTGCTTGAAAGACGAGGAAGCCTTTAACATTCAAAATTCCACCTCGCCCAAGCTGGATAACCGGAAAACGGTCAATCCGGACGATCCGGACGCGAACTGTTTGCAGAACAACTTGACTTGAAGATCGGAGGGGCCCGAGCCGGAGAAGAAGACGCCACGGGGCGGGGGCGTTTGGGAAATAAAGGGAAGAACGAGCGAAATGAAAAGATTGCACGAAAGCCATGTCCTGTCCTCCCGAGCGCCATTTTTAATCTTTTTTTTTTCGATTGGGGGGGGCGGGGGTCTTCGTTAGGTTTTGTTGGTTTTTCTTTCCCCCCCCCCTCCTCATCGCATGCTTTGATGTATTCGGTACGGAATAAAGGAAAGGAAAGGTCAATAAAGAAAAACACGGCTCGGAGACACACAATTGTGACGGCGTCCCGCCTCCCTCCCTCCCTCCCTAATGAGTGGTGTGCGTTGATTTTTGGGGTCTGTTCCCTGTTGTATATATGGCCTTTCCCCCCCCCAAGCCCCCTCCCACCGCCGTGGTTTCTAACACTTTGCCGCGATTCGTCTCGTCTTTCGGTTTCGTTTTCCGTTTTTCTAATTTGTACTTCACCTGGTCTTTTTTTCGGGGGGGGGGGAGAATCCGGTTTTAAAAATGTGGGGGGAAAAAGTGTGAAGCTCTCGAGAGAATGATGACGATGATAAATAATAAACTTTTTTTTTTAAAGGGAGGACCGTCGCATTGATCTCTTGCTGCCGAGAAATCGGAGCGGAGGGGGGGGGGTTGGAAGTTGAGTGCAGAAAGGGGATGAAAAATGAACGAGAAATTAAAAACAAATGGCTTTTTTGGGGGGGAGGAAAATAATGTGAAGGCCCCGGGGACTTTAAGCTGGGTGGGCTTCAGGGCCTAGAATTGCCCACTGAGCGTGGAATTCTGGGAATTGAAGTCCACCCCTCTTAAAACATGCTGGCTGGGGGATTCTGGGAGTTTAAGTCCTCCCCTCTTAAAGTATGCCGGCTGGGGGATTCTGGGAGTGGAAGTCCTCCCCTCTTAAAGCAAGCTGGCTGAGGTATTCTGGGAGTGGAAGTCCCCCCTTAAAGCATGCCAGCTGGGGGATTGTGGGAATCAAAGTCCTCCTTCTTAAAGCATGGCTGACTGGGGGATTGTGGGAGTTGAAGTCCATTCATCTTAAAGCATGCCGGCTGGGGGATTCTGGGAGTTGAAGTCCATCCCTCTTAAAGCATGCCGGCTGGGGGATTCTTGGAGTGGAAGTCCACCCCTCTTAAAGCATGGTGGCTGGGGGATTCTGGGAGTTGAAGTCCACCCCTCTTAAAGCAGGCTGGCTGAGGGATTCTGGGAGTGGAAGTCCTCCCCTCTTGAAGCATGCCGGCTGGGGGATTCTGGGAGTTGAAGTCCACCCCTCTTAAAGCATGGCGGCTGGGGGATTCTGGGAGTTGAATCCACCCCTCTTAAAGCATGGTGGCTGGGGTATTCTGGGAGTTGAAGTCCTCCCATCTTGAAGCATGCCGACTGGGGGATTCTGGGAGTGGAAGTCCTCCCCTCTTGAAGCATGCTGCCTGGCAAAATCCCGTGACCGTGGGGGGTTCTGGAATGTCCGAACTTTGAATCTGGGTTGTAGCCCAGGGAGGTCCGTCATAACTTGGAACGGTTGCTATGGAATCGGTCATAAATGGAGGATTCTGGATACGGTTTCTGCCTGACTTGCAAGGTCACCCCTGAAGAGAAGCAAAATATGTCACTGGCTCCCCCTTCTGGCTAGTTATGGAACAGCATGAAGAGAACTGCAGAATTGGTGAGATGGTTTTTGCTGGCAACTGCTCTAAATTGTCGACATTTCCGCTCCTACAAACTCCGTCTTAAGCACCATGGGAGTGGATGTCCCCAGAACATGAGGCTCTCGGATAGGGGAGAAGCCACCTGCTTTGTAATTGGACCCTTGTCCAATTCAAATTGGCCACCCTTTACGAATCGATTCGCTAGTCTCTCGTGCTAAGGGACAGAATAGAATATTAACATATAGAATGGAAGAATAGAACAGAAAATGGAATAGAATGGAATATAGAATAGAATAGAATAACAAATAGAATAGAGTGGAACAGAATGGAATGGAATAGAATAAGGGATAGGATAGGATAGGATAGGATAGGATAGGATAGAATAGAATAGAATAGAATAGAAATGGGAGGATAGAATGGAACAATAGAACAGAAAATAGAATAGAATAGAATAGAATAGAAATGGGAGGATAGAATAGAATAGAATAGAATAGAATAGAATAGAATAGAATAGAATAGAATAGAATAGAATAGAAATGGGAGGATAGAATAGAATGGAACAATAGAACAGAAAATAGAATAGAATAGAATAGAATAGAATAGAATATAGGAGTGAAGAACAGAACAAAACAGAACAGAATAGAACAGAACAGAATAGAATAGAAACGCCTGAAGGCCAGACAAGAAGCAACGGATGGAAACTCATCAAGGAGAGAAGCAACCTAGAACTAAGGAGAAACTTCCTGACAGTGAGAACAATTGACCAGTGGAACAACCTGGAGGCAGGTGGTTCCACTGGTCAATTGTTCTCACTGTCAGGAAGTTTCTCCTTAGTTCTAGGTTGCTTCTCTCCTTGATGAGTTTCCATCCGTTGCTTCTTGTCCTGCCTTCAGGTGCTTTGGAGAATAGCTTGACTCCCTCTTACTTGGGGCAGCCCCTGAGATACTGGAACACTGCTATCCTGTCCCCCCTCGTCCTTCTTTTCATTAAACTAGACATACCCAGTTCCAGCAGCTGTTCCTTATATGTTTTAGCCTCCGGTCCCCCGATCATCTTTGTCGCTCTTCTCTGTACTCTTTCTAGCGTCTCAACATCTTTTTTACACCGTGGTGACCAAAACTGGATGCCGTATTCCAAGTGTGGCCTTACCAAGGCATTGTAAAGTAGTATTAATACTTCACATGATCTTGATTCTATCCCTCTGTTAATGCATCCCAGCACTGTGTTGGCCTTTTTGGCAGCTGCAGCACACTGCTGGCTCCTATTTAAGTGATTGTCCACTAGGACTCCAAGGTCCCTCTCACAGTTACTACTATTGAGCAAGGTACCCCCTATACTATACCTGTACATTTGGTTTTTCTTGCCTAAATGTAGAACCTTGCTTTTTTCACCCTTGAATTTCATTTTCTTAGATAGCGCCCAGTGTTCGAGTCTGCCCAGATCCTCCTGTATCCTAAGCCTGTCTTCTGGAGTGTTGGCTATTCCTGCCAGCTTGGTGTCGCCTGCAAATTTGATGAGTTCCCCATCTATCCCCTCGTCCAGATCGTTGATGAAGATGTTGAAGTGCCTAAACTCTTTAGTACAAATCTCGAGTTACGACGTGATAGCAGTATTCCAATATCTCAGAGGCTGCCCTGAAGAAGAGGGAGTCAAGCTATTTTCCAAAGCACCTGAAGGCAGGACAAGAAGCAATGGCTGGAAACTAATCAAGGAGAGAAGCAACCTAGAACTAAGGAGAAACTTCCTGACAATGAGAACAATTAACCAGTGGAACAACCTGCCTCCAGAAGCGGTGAATGTTCCAACACTGGAAGTTTTAAAGAAGAGACTGGACAGCCATTTGTCCGAAATGGTATAGGGTTTCCTGCCTGAGCAGGGGGTTGGGCTAGATGACCTCCAAGGTTCCTTCCAACTTTACTATTATTATTATTATTATTAAATATTTTCTCTCTTCCCCCCCTCCTAACATTGACTGTTCTCGTATTTAAGCTAAGGCAGTTCTTATTCTATCAACTCAATCAAAACATCATTTATCAATACATTTTAGCTTCTGCGTATCTCCATTATTTTTCACATTCCATCTACGTAAACAATCCATATCCTGTTATTAATTCTTCCCCCAATTTTTGGTTTCCCATCACTCTTCCAATTTCACCTTGGCTATTTATGATTTTTCAGGCTTTAGGCAACCATTCATATCTAATATCCAAAATAACACATTTGATCCATTTGAATGTAATCTCGCTCTATTTCCTAAAAGTTCTCTTATTTCCCAACTTGTAGTACTCTTTATATGGTTCTTCATATTTCGGATTTCTGAATTGGCAGTCCGGAGACACAAGCCTGAGCAAAAGGCTGCTTGCCAACACAACCTGAGAACAAAACACAGCCCAAAAGAGAAATGTAATATATATATAAAGAGAGAATGGTATAGCTATTTCGGGTTCCTTTAACCCTCATCAGCCAAACTTACTCTTCTGAAAATATATATATATTTATTTATTTAACAAATTTTATTTATAATGCAGTTAAAAACAAACAAACATTGGATTTAACGTGACATTCCAGTATATACATTCTTATCAGATTATTCCACTTTTTATATAATAAAATGTAATATTTTCATTCAATTAAAGAATGAGACGATTTTAATATTATTATTATTTTTTCCCAAGCGAGCCTGGGAAATCTCTGCTCTCAAGCTGCAGTGCCGCTATCCGGCCGGCAGAGGGCGCAACGAACAACACTCGACCGCAGCCCGGGCAGAGAACGGCGCCGCGCCAAAAGCGCGCATGCGTAGTGAGGCCGGCCAGTAGGCCGCAGCCTGCCGCCGTCGTTGTCCAGCTCGCTCGCTAGCTCGCTCGCTCGGCCGAACGAGATTCCTCTCGCGGGCCGGAGGGCAAGCGCGTCCGCCCGGCGAGATGTTCGCGGCGCTGAACGAACTGCTCGGCGTCTCCCTGGAGCAGCCGGAGCGGGTGAGCAACGCGTCCCGGCGCGGCGTGGCCCCTCTCGGGTTCCGTCGCCGCGCCAGACCGACCATGGCTGCGCCCCCCCCGCTCCCAAGAGGCCTTTTGGAGCGAGGCATGCCGGGAGTTGTAGTTGGTTTCCTGGTTTTGCCCCATCCTTGGCCTGGCTCAAACAGAACCAGGATTCCTTTTGCAAGCCTGGATTGATGGGGGAGGAAGTGATAAACTGGGGTTTATCTGACTGAGCCGGCAGGGGAGGATGAGCGTTGTAGTGTCTCTCTGCTTTTGAAGCTCAGACGTGGGGACTTCGGCCCCCAGCATTTAATATAGAATTTAATTTTAATATTTTATATTACGTACAGATTTCATTACAGATTTTATTTCAGTTGTATATGATTTTATGTTTTGTTAGATTGGATTGTATATTTTATTTTTATTATAGTTAATATATTTTTTTAAATTTTATTTTTTTTCATTTTATATTTTATGTTAAATTTGTTTTATATTTATATAGCTGTCTATATATCTATATCATCTCTGTCTAGCTATCTATCAACTAGCTATTTATCATCCATCATCTGTCATGTCTATATCTACCTACCTATCTATATCTACCTATCTATATCTATCCATCTATATCTATCTGTCATATCTATATCTATCTCTATCATCCATATCTATATCTCTATATCATCTGTCTATCTATATCTATATATCTCTCTATATATATCTGTCATCTATATATCATATATCTAGCTATCTATATATCTATATCTATCTATCTTACATCTATATATCTATATGTCATCTATTCTCTATATAGCTATCATCTATCATTGTCTCTATCAATATCTCAGTCATTCTATATCATCTATGTATCAATTATCTGTCATTTATTCTCTATATAT